TGGAGGGTGTATGGTATCATCATTGATGCATCCTGGGGCTACTCTGGTCCTCCTCCTCCTCCTCCTCCTCTTCTCCTCCTCCTCCTCCTCCTCCTCCTCCTCCTCCTCCTCCTCCTCCTCCTCCTCCTCCTCCTCCCCCCTCCTCCTCCTCCTCCTCCTCCTCCTCCTCCTCCTCCTCCTCCTCCTCCTCCTCCTCCTCCTCCGCTCTTGTCCTCCTTTCCACTCCTCCATCGCCTCCTCCGCGCTTGTCTCCTTTCCACCTCCTCACGTGCTATGCTGTGCTTCACCGAGGGCCAGTACGGCCATCCTTCCTTATGCGGGGAGAGTGTGCTGTGCCGGGCGTTGCTGATGGGACGGACGCTCCGACAACCGCCACGCGCCAGACTTGCGAGCCACGTGCCGGGCGCTCCCAACTGGCAGCTTGCCCCGATGTCTCTCAGCGGGGCCAAGAATTGACAGCGCCTGCGGGCCACGGTGAGCCCGCGGCGGAGCCTCCGAGGAGGCCTGCCCTCATGCCCATCTGGGAGCGTCTGCGCGAAGAGGCGGCTCCTCTCCTGGCTCCCGCAGCACCCTCAGGCCCATCCCCCACACCCCACAGGGCCAGGATCCCCGACAGCGCCACCTGCCTACCCCCTCGAGGCGAGGGTGGGTGCCGCGAAGCCCGGCGGAGGCGGCAGCCGACCCCACCCCAGGGGAGGGGGCGCCGGCAGGACGGCGGAGCCACGGCTTTCCCAGCGGGGGGCCGGGGATGCAGGGGGTGTTGTCTGGAGATGCTGGTCTCCGCCGCCGGGAGGTGCCGCGTGGAGGCGCGAGGGCCCCGTCGCGACCCCCGCGTGCTCGCCGAGCGCACGCAGTGCCCTCCGCAGCAGCGCGCCCCTGTGCGGGCCAGGAGCTGAGCTCCCGCCGTGCGCCTCGGCGACGGGGACATCAAGGACGACGACGCCTGGGATGAGCTGGCGCGTGGAGTGCCTCGACGGGCGTTCTGTGCGCGTCCGCGCGTTCCAGCCGCTGGGCACCACCGCCGCGCAGCGGCGAGAGGCTGCGCGCAAGGTGTGCTTTCCAAGGGGGGGGGGAGGCCAGCGCCCTCATTGTCCCAGGGCGCTGGAGCTCTCTCTCTCTCTCTCTCTCTCGTCGGCGACGCGACGGGCGGCGAGACCGAGCAGGTGGCTCGCCGTGGGGAGCGGACGGCCATGTATCGCGCCTGGCTCCGCTGGGTTGAAGCGCACCGAGCATCTCGGCGCCAACGTGATGCTCTGCCTGCTGCAGAAGGCCCTCCTGAGGATGACGAGTATCTTGGAGAGTATCTCCGCCAGCCGCTGGAAGAGTGGTGGAAACGGCTTCGCACGCACTTGGCTTTGCCTCAGCCGTCGCGGGTGTGGCTCACCATGGAGACGCGGGCGAGCGGCTGGACTGCATCGCGCAGGATGCACGTGCTGGATGACAAGCGACGATGCCATCTGGGTTGTGCAGCGCCCGATGCTGTCGCACATTGCTGCAGGCTCGTGCCGTGTCGATGCGGCGGCGACCCGGGCACGGGCGCTCAAAGTTGAACGGCGCCAGCCCGAAATCGCCAGATCATATCGAACGATCTGCGCCCCCAGGAAGCCGCGATCGCTCAAGGCTGAAAGGTGCGCGCGGTGTCAGGGACCAGCGCAGCAGTCGCCACGACGCGAACCCGCCGTAGCTGGCGTGCGACGAGGCCCTCTGGCACCGCCTCGGCCTTCCGCGAGGCCACCTCCGCGCGAACCTCTGTACGCGGCTTGGCCTCCCGCCCGCGCTCGCCCAGGCCGTCGGCGACCACCTCGGCGAGCTCGGCATCACGCCGTGGCTACCCGACGGACCACCCGCCGCCCACGTGGGTTTGGACCCCCCGTGGGGACCTCGGTCTCAGGGCTCCGGCTCCCAGGACAGTCAGCGGGCCAGGACTTTGCCAGATCCAGCGGGCGGGGGCGCAGGACGCCTGTGTGCTGAGGTCACACGTCGTCGTGGCTCTCCAGAAGTCCCCCGTTCGTGGGGCCCCGATAGTCCCCCCACGCTTCCAGACGAGTCCGACCCCACCATGCCGCCTGGTGGTGCCCGGTTCGGTCTGCCCAGTCCGATCCCGTGCTGTCGCACATCACCCGGTGCCGCCCGAGGCCCTGGCACCACCTCTCGCCCCTCCGGCGAGACCCGCTCCGCGCGAGCCGCCCTGCGCCGCTCCATAACTCGGCCGCCACGGGGCCTCCCACCTTCGCGCGGCTCGGCCTGCCGCCCACGCCCTCCGTTCCAGAGCGTTCCGGAGCGCTATGAGAAGGCCGCGGCGCCTGAGATACCCTGCAGAGCCGCGGGCACCCAGAGATTCCCGCTTCCTTCTCCCCCCGGAGCTTCCTCGTCCTGGCTTCGTCCTACACCTCTGCGAGAGTGGCACCGCCGACTCGCCGCGGGGTCTCACACCACCGCGCGGCTCGGCCTGCCGCCCACGCTCGCCGAGGCCGATGGCGACCACCACGGCGAGCGTGGC